GCGCATTACATTACGGAATTAAATTCCAATTTTTTTCAAGTTATTTTCTCCGATTCTTTCTCTCTTTCTCCATTTAAAGTCCTATGAAATAGTGATAAAGGGTTTTAACAAAGGTATAAATTATATCTTTTAACGCCTGCGTGGATAAAAAAATGGCAGCAATTTTCAAACGAATGTAACGAATAATGTATTATGTCGTTGCGCATATGTACACTATACGGACTGTAACGGTTAAATTCTTCAATTATTATTGTTACAAAACAGATTGCATTTACAATTTATTTATTGAACGTTGTCCATATACTGTTTATGAAAACGTATTAACAGATTTTAGTTATGACAATTTTTGTAATTGTATTGCCACAATTTTGAAAACAACAATACTAATGCGATATACGATTTTGCCGTTAAGTAAAAATTTTGCAATTCTCGAAATATTGTTTTATCTGTTGATTAATTAGTATGAAATTACAATTCCCAGTCCGTATATGATAATAATGTTACCTTTGTTGTTCATAACACGTTCTCATTATCACTCAAAGGGCGTGCATTTGTTTAATTAAGTAATGCGGCCATAACACTTATTACATCGATGAATACAGCGTCGAAATTTCAAATAAATTTGTGTATTTTGCGATAAAAAGTGCAATAAAATACGCTCCGTTGGCTAATCGGTAATCGAAATCTAACAAATAGCCGAATTATTCTTGAATTCGGCTTCTTTTTGGAATGCAAGTGATGCAGAAAGTGACGCGAAGGAAGTCCCTTAAATTATGCTAAAATGTCCGCGTAGTTTTACTTCAGGCTTATCCAAAGTTAAGTAGCAGAGTATTCTTCGGTGAAATCTAGATAAGAAAGTTCGCACCGCAAATGGAAGGAATGTCATGAATTTTAGAAGAATGTGCTACCTGTCGACGATTAGCTGTAAATGCAACAGATGCCGTCCGTTCTCGCGCAACGAAACATTACGATCTTATAAAGTTTTTAATCAAATTTAAAAATTAAACAGTGTACATAAATATATAAGTCAATCTTAATTAAAAAAAGGAGAAATCCATTAACTCGGTCACGGTTCTTTGTATGAGCGATTATACATATTTTGACTAATTCAAGAAGTTTCGAGAGTCATCCATTATCCGCGGTATACTTTCCGCGATTTTCCCGGCTGTTCCTCCCTTTTTTCAACCATGCGACGTCGAATGATTATACGATGGCTTCCGCCCTGCATCTCGGACTTTCAGCAACTCCTAAAAACATTTCTTCAGAAGTTTGCTGAGATAAACTTGCCGACATAGCCGGACGGAGCCCGTTGAATTCAACGAGTTGCGAGAAAGCCTGTCGGAACTGACTTCTAGAGAGAGAGAGAGAGAGAGAGAGAGAGAGAGAGAGAGAGAGAGAGAGAGAGAGAGAGAGAGACGAGAGAGAGACGACGACGACGACGACGACGACGACG